ACTCAGAAGCCACAGAGATGAACTTCCACGAAACTAGGCAGAGAATGGGGGCTCAGGGGTTTCCGGGAAAGGGGCCTGCACGCGTCGTTATATTTTTTGTCTAACAGCGCGCACATAGCCTAGTTCCAGACAGAGTTTACTAGAGGGAACTCTAGAGGGAACTTTGGCGCTATAGTGGCTATGGGAGCAGCAACGCACGGCGCTTCAGGCAGCACGGGAATGATGAGTATTACGCGGATTTGTCTCATCTTCGTTCTTCTGGCTCCGTTTGGGTTCGCGTGTCTTGAAGCTGTTTTGTCACGAAACAAAAATCAGCAAAGGTTTAGCAGTTGCGCTTCACAACCTTATTATTTTAGGCTTGCCATTTTAAATCGGGTGACAAATTTCAAAACAGTTTGTTATTTCTAAATCGAAACACAGCAATAAACGAAGCCACAAGTGCAACTCGAGGCCCGCAAGTACGAAGACCAGGAAAATCCGTGTACTACTCATAGTTCCCATTCTCACCAAGCGATTGCAGCACCAGAGTCCCCTATAGTTAATTTTAAAAAACTCTATTGTTCCCGACCCCCGCTTTTTCGGGGCACCCACAAACTTCAGTAGAACCATGCAGCGCTAGTGAAAGTAGCGCCACACTTTTAAAGACACTACAAGTTGGACGCTGAGCGACATTTAACGTTGAAAACTATAACTACATAAAAAACCTTTTGAACGGAAATTGCTGTACTAATATTCTTAGAATGTGGTTGGTTGGGTTTAGGTTTAATTACATTTCATGTTTCCTTTATTGATACTGTCCGCCCTTTTTGACGGGCTGTTACAGAAATGCTAGTAAACAAGAATGTACATAAGGGAAACGTGAGAACGAGATTTACTACTGGAGCGTATATCGTTTCACAGAACATATAAAAATACATACAACGAACAAGTCGTACTTGCGAGGAATGTACTTTCAGCAGAGAAGTTCATCAGTGAAACATAAGAAAAGAAACCATAACTGTTGAAGCTCATACAATTGCACATATCAGAATACATAAGCGTAAAACAAGTAAATGACAGATGCCATCACAATCTCAGTACATGACACCAAAGCACACAATAGAATTTATTGATTCCGAAAACTCAGTAATAAGTGATTTCATTTTCACATCCTAACATTGTACTGCCAAATCGTCCTCGGGAGCATAAACTGTTCGGGTGCGTACGCTATTCTGCAAACACAACGTGCAAATCTTGGAGATTAGCGTACAACGCATGCGCTGCGGCGAGAAACGCTAACGCATATCCTCATTGGGTGCGCGAAGTTTTGCGTAAACGTTTGTCCCCACTGCGCAGGCGTCATACGCTAGCCTCTTGTGTACACGCCCGTTGTAGTTCGCAAATGGCATGGATACCCGAGCAACATATAGTGCTCAGAATGCTATTCTAAAAGCGTCTATTGTCTTGTCTCGTAGCTTAGCGCTTGCCTTTTTGTGTGGAAAACCATTTAATGGCCTCTGCAAGACCTTACGTCAGACGATCTATACATACTCTGTCGAACCACGCTATAGCGTCGGGTAGAGTCGTTAGTTGCAGCAGGATACACCGCAATACCAGAGCAGCGGAGGGGACGGGCCTTTAATTCATACACACATACACACACGCAAGATTTCGCTAATTAGCCAAAGCCGAGACTTCGCTTGGGCAAATATTTAAAAAAGCGGCCGCAAATATTTATAGCTTCTTCCGTACAGGCCCATGCGACACGTCTCGCGCCGTTGCCGGCGCGATGCACATTTTTAGAAGGATGCGCAGCCTAGCTCCCGCATCTCCTAAACACTGCCGGCCACGCTGGAGCACTACATAGGCCTGCGGGGCAGCGCAATTATTCACGCGCACACTTCAGTGGCAGAACCCCGCAGACGTTCCAACGAGCGTCGCGAGGGCGTCGGCCACCATCGCTAATTGTTCGCTCTCCGCCCACGCTCTCCGTTTCTTCCCTCCCTCTGTGTGCAGAAAGAGCAGTGGCCGGCGGAGATGTACGCAGTCGCGGGTTGAGTTCGCCGGGGCAAGTTCGACGGCGTAACCCAACCCCGCGCGCACACAAACGCCCCACCGTTTTTTTTTTATCACTCTTGCCTGCGTCGAAAAGGACCCCGCCCTTCAGCGTGAGCACGCACGCGAGCCGGCCATTACTCGTCCGGAAATGCGGCAAACACTGTGTACGGGCAGCATCCGATGGCGGCGAATACTGCGGAGGAGGAACATTCATCATTTTCCGCACAAATGTTCAAGAAGTTCGGAATTCGCGTAGGGCCGGCGCTGTCGTAGGTCACGGATACATAGTTTCCATTTCGAAGCCTCAGTACGCAGCATTGTTATTGCTGCGTAGACCGTGATCGACTAAATTGGAAGCGACGTAATCTCACACGGTCTTTCATTATTGACAGCAGATGTCACTTAATTGGCACTGAGCACGGAGAGAAGTGGGAGTAGAAAAGGTGCGCAATTACTGCGGCTCGCAACAGGAAATTCTGCGCATTGAGGTACGCCGAGAAGGTAGCTACTGCGGCCGTTGGTACTACTGAAACGTCGAACGAAGCTAAATGAAAATCCAGACGGTTTAGGTACGCAAACTATAGCGGAGACCAGTGCAAAAAGTACACAGACCAAGCAAGGACCATAGCATCTTTTGATGCTGTGCAATCATAACGACTCCTGGTGCGCCCCTAGTATACACAACATGCAACTATGCACACGACGGTTGAGCCCCATACTCTAATTACCGTCATAACAATACAGCAATTAATAAGCCTACCGGCGTAATTACTGCATTCAGCCAAGACCTCAAGAGAATCGAGTGAACTTTACGTGAATCGAGCATTTTTCAAGTGGCTCAAGCGTTAATCAACGTAGGTTAACGTGAATGAAGTGAAGTTCAAGTGAATTGAAACTCATAGAGCTTCGCAGAGCATATGTTTTCATTTACCATCTCATGGGTTCCACTCAAGTGCGTTTAGAAAAGATATTGAGAGGCGACTCGCCTTCGCTACGCAAGGTAGTTGGTCACGAAACTCCCCTATACCACTACGGCGAGAGCATGGCCTCCGAGATAGCGGGTGCACGTCCACAATCTAGAAGGCCAGTATTTTTCTTATCTTTCTTTTTTTGATCGAGGTCTTGCTTTGTTTGCTGAAAATTGGTGACTCGGACAGTGTGATTTTCTTAAACATATGCATTAAAATAAGCAATTATAAAAAAACTACACACTCACTGGGACTGGCGCTTACTCGGCCAAGGAAGTTTTTGAACATTTTGCCTATGTTGCGTTTTCCATGTGCTACATAAATCGAAAGCGCAACAGAGCTCTGCTTGTAAACACACATGCTTATTTTATCTAGATTAGAGGAACACGGCTTCGTCTCATTTAATCAAGAGATCATTCTTCGTAAAAAATTTCGTTGCATCACCGTGCAGACGTAGTTCATCTAAGGAGTCAAGTAACGAACGTTGTGATTTGCGAAGCTGCCACCATACCCGAGTGCCCTTGCTAAGCTACGCAATGTAAAGCACGACACTATTTCGGTCGTGTAATATTGTCCACGTAACATGTATTTGTCAAAGCTACATGTCGAAAACATAAACAGAACGTGGTTGCAAGCTCGGAGTTAAGGCTTGGCTATACACCCTAGAGATGAGCTTGTGTTGACGCTGCACATGGTCGTTACCTTGCGAAAGATTCGTCATTCCCGATTTGAAGTGTTACCAAACCTATGTGTGCTATAGGCGGCAGCAGAGTGAAGTTGACTTTTATAAACTGCAACCACAAAAAAGTCAAGCTTTTCTTTTTTTGTAACGCGGCCACGTACCACGGCGTAGGTTGTCTGCTTGTAAATAGCGCGGTCAGCACTGGCTGAATTTCCGCTGTGGGACTTCACTTTGTGAGTTGGTGAGTTTATAAGCCTTGCGCAATGCCGGATGTCTAAGTAAACATTCTGTGCCTGAATAAATACTCTCGGTATCTCTTCCATGAGGTAGGGAACCACGCTGCCACAACAAAGCAAACACTGCTGCGTCAAACCCAACTGGATCCACCCCAGCATCGACGTCTTTAAGATACACGCGAAAATCAGTTTTCGCACGTGTTTGCGTCAGCCACATTGTATATTGGAATAAGTATGATGGTAGTTGAATTATTGCGGTTTGTTGCGAAATCAACCATTGCCTCGAACCGGCACAACATTGAGCCGAGAGCAGCGTGCGCGCACGGATGCCCTCGGTGCCTTGATGTCCCCGCGTAGAGTGCCTCGATGCGCTCGTTCGCCTCCGGGCGCGCGCATCGAGGCACTCTACCCCGCGTCGACTACGACGTCCCTCTATGAAACCACAGGCGGAGTTTCGCGACCAGAAAAAGCATTGTAGGACTCAGGTAGTACACTGAGCGCAAGCCCACTCAAGAGGCATGTTGTAAAAACAAATTGAAGCCTCGTGTTCTGTCCTGACACCCGCCAAATCGATCTGCAGGGTAGAAATGCCCGTACACTATGGGAGAGCTGTCTCTAAGAAGTGATCGACGATAGCCGTTGCCCGCCAGTGCATTGCAAATGCTACTTATACTAACCTTCTTGACTTGACATCACCGACCACCCCGCCGCGGTGGTCTATTGGCTAAGGTACTCGGCTGCTGATCCGCAGGTCGCGAGATCGAATCCCGGCTGCGGCGGCTGCATTTACGATGGAGGCGGAAATGTTGTAGGCCCCTGTGCTCAGATTTGGAAGCACGTTAAAGAACCCCAGGTGGTCCAAATTTCCGGAGCCCTCCAATACGTCATCTCTCAATCATATAGTGGTTTTGGGACGTTAAACTCCACATAACAATAAATCAATTGACATCACCGAGCAAAAAGTATGGCGCCTGCTGTAAACCATTTATAATATAACCACGTGTGTTTTTCATGCACTCACGTTTTCTCAAGAACTATTTATCAAAAGCATGCAATAAAAAACGGTAATCAACTCACCAACAGAGCGCTTCTTCTTCTAGGGGCACCCTTTGGCCAACTGCAACAGGCAACAACACCGCATCACGCTATCTGTTTGTTTCTATTCAGAGAACATAAGGCATTCACAGATTGCAGTGGCAATTAAAGCGCGCGCGGACTTGAAGGATTGCACTTTCGTGTTGCCAGCACAATTACAGTGAAAATTGACGTGTGCTAAGGATCAACATAACGGCGACTGGATCGACGGCACTCCGTATTGCAAACTCACCAAGCTTCCTACCTCGCTGGACTTGTGACGAAGGAAACCCTTGGAGAAACCGTGAGCCCTGTTAGAAACGGGCCCGCTTGCACGCGCGCCACTGTGGAAACGCTGGTCTTCGTTACGGAAAGATCAGAACATCGGGTAGTGGGTCGTTCAAGTGCCGACCACGGACATTGCGCACGTGTTTCTTAACGCGAAAGCCCTAAATGGCTACCATCCATCAGCAAAAAGCCCGGTGTTGTACAAAAAAAAAATAAATTGGTAGATCCCCCGTACGGTGAGAATCGATGATATGCGAAGCACGAATGAGAAAGGTTGACATGCCACTTAAAAATCAGCACAACGTTACCAGGCGGTGGCAAATTATGCCGTACATGACTTTCATAACATGATTATCATGTTTGGACGCGACATTTACCTTCGTCATCTATTCACGTCCCCTGATACCAAATTTGATATATGTGAAGCTAGCAAAACGGCGGCGAGCGCATCATGTTCAAGAGACCTATATGCTCCGATGTAGCTTTGACGCGCGCGCATGCTAGGCGCCGCTACGCTACGCTAGCAGAACACGGGCACGCCAGGCGCGATCGGCGCAAAATGTGACATGCTGCATTTCACGCCAACGACGTTACCCAGACAGCACTGCGCCTGCCTCCCTTCGCGATGGAGGGACGCCGGGCGCGCTCAAACGCACATGCGTCAAAGGAACGCAGCGCGACACGCGCCTATATGGCTGGCAGATCGGGGCCTGGCTTGGCATCGCCGGCGTGACGCGACGAAACGAACACTGGCGCGCACGCGCACCGGGTCACGTCGAAGTGTATTCGCGCCTTGAGTGTGGCATGTAGTCATGTTCTCACATGACACGCACATCACGATTATCACGTTTGCACCAGTCACATACCTTCGTCATCCATTCACGTTTCGTAATACCAAACTTGGTATATGTGAAGCTAGCGAAACGGCCGCGAGCGCATCATGAGCGTGAATGTAGTCGTGGTTTTACATGACACGCATCTCATGATCATCATGTTTGCATCAGTCACATACCTTCGTCATCCATTCACGTCTTGTAATACCAAATTTGGCATAATTGAAGCTAGCGAAACGCCCGCCAGCGCATCACGAGTGTAGCATGTAGTCATGTTGTTACATGACACTCATGTCATTATTTTCATTTTAGGGTGTGTCGCTTGCGTTCGCCATGCAGTCATGTCATACCATACGAGTTTTGAAACATGTCATGTAAACGAAACCACCACAAAAGCAGCAAGACCATGATATGGTATTCATGACACTCATGACATACATGTCACGATTTTATTGTTATGACTAGTAACTTATTCTCGCCATACAGTCATGCTATGCCATACCAACTTTAGTGTTGATACCAATATCGAAACGGCCAGGAGAGCTAAAAGTCGTAGGCGGCTAGATAGATAGATAGATAGATACGCTCAAAGTCGCCGAAGTTCGCTAAAAAATGCTTCGCATTTAAAAATTACACCATCTTTCGCGAAAGAGAACCATGTGTAGGCGAAAAGCGAAGAGTTCTAACGCTTGCGCTGGCGGCGGCGTTGACGCTGGCACTCATGGCAGCGTTGCGCAGGAGAGAAACCATGGGTAAGGCGCAAAGCACGCAGTGATGAACCGGTGTTCCCTACTGGAACACACCAATCACTGCTAATGGGCAATGAGAGACACCAGACTTCAATTGGACACTGAGACACGCAGCCCGCATTTAGTTTATTTATTCATTTTATTTATTCAAACGTCAGGGCCAAAGGCATAAGAGAGGGGAGTGGTTACAAAAGCGACACAGAGGCAAAATATAAAAAATAATATAGAACATTTCAGTAAAAAATACATGTATTTATACACATTTAGCTGAATTAAAGCAAGATAAAATGATGACAGGCAATTGATAAACAATGATGGGAAATGCACAATGGCCACAATGTATATGCGATAAAAATCAAGTCCTAGAATCACTATTGTTGCGCAGAGTAAAAAGAAAAACAAAAAAATAGTACAGTCAGTTTATAAAAAGTATTAGATAAAGCTGGTTTAAGCAAGTGACTGTCATGAATTGATACGACGGCTTCGCGAAGGCGGTTCCATTCAGTGGATGATTCGTTTACAAATGACTGAAAGAATGTTTTACAGCGAAATCTGTTATGAGATCAAAACTCAGGTCACGCGCGGCGCCGTAGTTGTCTGCCACAGCACGTGTCCGAAGCCACATTGCACAAAATGAAAAAAAAAAAAAAACTAGTACCAATGACACAGTGGGGCTGGAGGGGCTCCGTTGCGTGCAAGCCCATTACTTTACGACTGAGCCAGGCCTGTTTTTTAGATGGTATTTAACACAAATGCGGCTTACGATACACATAGCGTACAACATACATAAAGTCAAGTCGACAAACGTACAGTGGACATTACAAAGTAAATCTCATACAGCACCATGTCTAAAGGGGTATCTGAGTAGCACACTCCTTGAACTCAGCATACCGTTCCCGCTGAAATTGTAGTTAGTCATAAATTTCTCTTAGCCACACAGTAATTTGCACAAAGTGGCATCGCGAAGACACCATTGGTTCCGCATGCATGTCCAACATGCGAGTTTTCCATAAACTATGCATACCCATGAGCATGTCAACTGGCATGTCATTGCATTCGGGTGGTACCAGATAAGGGACGCTACGATAATTTAAATCCAGACGTTTTTTTTAAAGTCCTCTGCGGCATAGAGTTTCCTAAAATTAACAATAGGGGACTCTGGCTCTGCGATCGTTTAGCGACCATAAGAATGATGGGTGGCACACGGATTCGCCTAGTCTTCGTATACTTGCGGGTGGCGAATCATACGTGTGGCTTCGTTTATTGCTGTGTTCCGGTTTTCTTTAGAATAAAAGAACGAATTTCGTGACCAGTCTTGAAAAGGTATGCCTAAACAAATAAGATGGTGAAGCACAACCGCTGAAAAGTTGCTAATTTTTGTTTCGTGAAAAAACAGCTTCAAGGCACACGAACACACACAGAGTTCAGAAGTACGAAGATAAGACAAATACGTGTACTACCCATCATTCCCATGCTCGCTGAGGTGCCGTGCGTTGCAGCTCCCATAGACACTAGCGCCACAGTTCCCTCTAGTGTATATTTAGAAAACTCCATGCTCTGCAGGACGTCCCAGAAAGGGATGGCATCCTTACAACTAATAAAGCAATGTTCTATTGTATCTGGAACTTCACATAGGCGGCATTTCATTGAGGATACAAATATGCCTCAAGTTTTTACAGGTATTGTTTCTGTATTCACTTTGTACAAAAATGTCGTGGTTATTGGTGGAATAGGCATTTTCGTTACACGTAACGGCACGTCATGACCAGAAAATCCAAAATATAGTAAGCGGTACAGTGGGGCCAGAAATAGCGCATCCAGCAGAGCATAATATATGTCTTTTCTTGAGCTAGAAAACAAGTATTCCTTGGAAAATCTAGCTGTCAGAAAAAGCACTGATTCGTATACTTCACGCCTGAAACCTTGCAGATAGGGAGGCGATGCAAAATTAGTAGGTACCACTAAATTTGGTAAAACATCTACGAAATTCACTTGCAAGAATGTTCGAAGCAGTGGATGAGGACAGTCAATAAAATAGGAAAAGCGCCACACTATGCATGTCTAATGATGAGGTGTACCAACCGAAGACCGCCTGTGCAGACAGGTCTAAAAACATTGTCTCGCCTCATCGGTTCGTAGGGTGATGACCAAATAAAAGTTGCAAATATACGGTGAAATTACTGTATGTAAATCCTCGAACAACAAATTATTTGCAATACGTAGAATATTTTGCTACCAGAAGCAGGTTGCATGCTTTACCTCTGGCAAAGATAGAGAGGTTCTGAGGAATAAACGTCTGGACATGGCGATTTAGAGTGGGTACACGTTCTTCCCAATAATGTTCACTTGATCGATATGCATCAAATGCAACGCGTAGGTATTTTGGCGGAACACAAGAGCATTATATACCATGAAAATGGGTTGGTTTATTTGTACATGGGCCAAACCACAGTCCCAAGCTTTTAGCAAAGTTCATTCGTGTCCCTGAAATTTTCACCAAATCTCCGACTGTTAACACCACTATTGTTATACTACAACGGTCTGTACAAAAGAGCGCTAGGTGATAAGCATACGCCAGTATCCTCTCCTCACTCCCATAAGCACTGAAACCGCGGACGTTACCATATAGAATTACACTTAAGCACAGTGGCTCCAAGTAAAGAGCAAAAAGTAGTGGCGACAACGGACGTCCCTGTTTCACAGACGAGTTAAGAAACGCGGGTTTTGAAAGATAGCTATTAACAATTAAACAATGCTTGGGACTTAGCAAACTTGCCTTAGACAGGCTTGATATCGGGTAAGAAATTGCGTTATTATGACTTATAAAGTGTTTTAGAACAGCGAAAGAACAACCAGTCGTCGCAAAATGCGAATAGCGTAACAAGTGGGTCGTCCAATGCTCCAACCCATTGCAAAAGCTTGTACTTGTTCCCCTATTAACTGTGGCGCATACCCACTTCAGAGCCATAGTTCCTCATCGTCGTCAGCGACTGCATGGAAAATTGGCGCAAAATTCGTTGCGAATGTTTAACGGATACGACGCTTCTTAAAAGAATGACGAAAAATATCATAGCAAATGCCAGCGTACTAGCCGAACAATTTTATTATTAATGTTTCAGTGGGTATCAAGCAAGTGTGCTTGCAGCAGTTACCCAATGAGTGTTTAGAAAAGG